AAGTGGTAGATATAGACAGGAGGTAGTTATAGACAGGTGGTAGATCTAATGAGTTGGTCGTTATGGACAGGTGGTAGATATAATGAGTTGGTCGTTGACACGTTGTAGATATAATGAGTTGGTCGTTGACACGTTGTAGATATAATGAGTTGGTCGTTATGGACAGGTGGTAGATATAATGAGTTGGTCGTTAAGGACAGGTGGTAGATATAATGAGTTGGTCGTTAAGGACAGGTGGTAGATATAATGAGTTGGTCGTTGACACGTGTAGATATAATGAGTTGGACGTTATGGACAGGTGGTAGATATAATGAGTTGGTCGTTATGGACAGGTGGTAGATATAATGAGTTGGTCGTTATGGACACGTTGTAGATATAATGAGTTGGTCGTTAAGGACAGGTGGTATATATAATAAGTTGGTCGTTATTGACAGGTGGTAGATATAAATAGTTGGTCGTTAAGGACAGGTGGTAGATATAATGAGTTGGTCGTTAAGGACAGGTGGTAGATATAATGAGTTGGTCGTTATGGACAGGTGGTAGATATAATGAGTTGGTCGTTATGGACATGTGGTAGATATAATGAGTTGGTCGTTAAGGACTGGTGGTATATATAATGAGTTGGTCGTTATTGACAGTAGGTAGATATAAATAGTTGGTCGTTAAGGACAGGTGGTAGATATAATGAGTTTGTCGTTAAGGACAGGTGGTAGATATAATGAGTTGGTCGTTATGGACAGGTGGTAGATATAATGAGTTGGTCGTTAAGGACAGGTGGTAGATATAATGAGTTGGTCGTTGACACGTTGTAGATATAATGAATTGGTCGTTATGGACAGGTGGTAGATATAATGAGTTGGTCGTTGACACGTTGTAGATATAATGAGTTGTACACCTCCCACAGAAGTGGTAGATACCTCCCACAAGAGTTAGTACACCTCCCACAGACAGGTGGTACACCTCCCACAAGGAGTACACCTCCCACGACAGGTGGTAGATACACCTCCCACAGAAGACACGTATAGTCCCACAGAAGTACAGTACACCTCCCACAGAAGTACAGTACACCTCCCACAGAAGTATAGTACACCTCCCACAGAAGTATAGTACACCTCCCACAGAAGTACAGTACACCTCCCACAGAAGTATAGTACACCTCCCACAGAAGTATAGTACACCTCCCACAGAAGTACAGTACACCTCCCACAGAAGTACAGTACACCTCCCACAGAAGTATAGTACACCTCCCACAGAGGTATAGTACACCTCCCACAGAAGTTTAGTACACCTCATGCTGAAGTATAGTACACCTCCCACAGAAGTATAGTACACCTCCCCCAGAGGTATAGTACACCTCATACAGAAGTATAGTACACCTCCCACAGAAGTATAGTACACCTCCCACAGAAGTTTAGTACACCTCATACTGAAGTATAGTACACCTCCCACAGAAGTATAGTACACCTCCTACAGAAATGCAGTACACCTCCCACAGAAGTATAGTTCACCTCCCACAGAAGTGCAGTACACCTCCCACAGAAGTATAGTTCACCTCCCACAGAAGTGCAGTACACCTCCTACAGAAGTATAGTACACCTCCCAAGGAAGTACAGCTTCTACGAACGTACACCAAGCACTAAAATATTGCCGCAATGGAGAGTGATTTGAAGACCACATACTGTAGAAACATGCAAAAATAAATTCTAGCAAATCTAGTGCACCAAGTTAAATATGTATGTACTGTTATGAGACATGCTAGCACAGTTTTAGTTTGTCGATACATCAAATACATCTATGTATAAGTCAGCTTGAGAAAGTAACATGAAAGGAATTTAGCGAAATCAGCTAGAAATACAGATAGGTTATGATTTACTTCTAATCAATTATATAAACAGTAAAGTGTGGCAGATATACCAGAAATCAACAGACCTACAGTAAATTATCACTAATTCACATAGCAACTTACAATTTTCCAGTATCACTTTGTCTGCCAAGTTACAAGTAAAGTTGTTTATTTAACATATTATACTCAAACTGTTGAAACGGCGTTAAAATCTTATTTTAACACTTCTTATAATGTTCCCAAATTCTGGTAGTGTTTAAATTTGCCCTTAGTGTTTAGTCTTCTAATCCCATTATCAATAGAACTATACATTGAACCTTATACTTCCAATGAAGAGTAGATAATAATTATTTTTAAAAATTGTGGAAATCTTCGACTTGTTTTTCAGTATAAATATACAGTCAATGGTATATAAAAGCATCAATTATTATTACGTCAAGACGTATTTTGCTTACCTGATATCGAAAATAATAATCTCCTTCAAGAGGGTTGGGTCTACTCCTTTAAAGAACGATTGAATCACCTTAAAAAAATCACGTGTAAATAGTTAGTGGTGCAATACTGACAGCGCGAGAATAAAGTACACTACAACCCATATCCACACAATTTTTCAGTGAAAACAGTTTTGATTTCATAATGAGTAGGTTCCACTTATTAAACACAACAACAATTTAAAGGAATGAATTAGCGTTAATCCGGAATTGCAACTCCGCACGAGTCGTCAAGGCAGTTTATAGCAACACTATATCACTTTACCTGATTTTTAAGCTCCAATTCAAGCGTCTGGTTGGTTGTCATAGATTTGTCAAACGTCTCGTTCAGTCTGACTACAAATGCCAATGTATAAAAAGAGTTCGCTGCAATGCCAAAGAAAGAATATAATCGACAGAGTTAACTAAGATGTTTTTACTCTTTAAATTTTAAAAGAGCAAAATAAAATCAAAATCAGGGTAGAGCTAATTAACATGGTTTTAAGATAGATTAGAATTAGTGCATTGATATCGAACATTGACCTGCGAGGAACAAAAACTTTAAACAATCAAACAAACAAACAAAAACAAAACTAGAAATTGTCATAGACAATTTTGATGGACTTTTCACCTATTTTGGTCTGTAATTAAATTCAATGCCAGACATTGGCACTCTGTATGAAATCAAAGTACAAAAGGGATTATCAATAGTAAGAGTTTTGAATTTGATCCCGACCGAAAACCGGAATTGACGTTTTACACAAAAATGTCCTATCAGAAGTGCCATTTATTTTTAATACTACATATCAAAAGATGATTTCAAAAGGTCACGTTACCAATTCCTATTCCATAACAACTGAACAAAACTTCATCTTAGAATCTTTTAGAATTACTGGTAATTGGGTAATGACGGCCATATTGGATTTTTGATCAAATTAAAAATGCGTCATTAACAAGATCAGATGTACTTTCAAAACATAACGAATCCATAGGTCTTTTCGCCTTTCGATGAAAACCCCTAATAAACCTGACCTCCTGGTAGAATCACGTGACACGTGTGCAAAAGACGATAACACTGTGCTTTTGTTGGTTTAATCTTGTGAAAATACCCCTCCCGCAAGAAAGAAAAAACAATATGACTGCCTTTTTACAAGAATATGTTCCCCGAAAATTTACGTAAAAACAAAGATGTAAACATGAAAAAAGCAGTTTGTTAAATTGATTACTGCTTAAGTACATACCCAATGAAGGGCTTATAGACGGATAGATACTCCCATCAGGTACCGTAGAAGTAGTTGCAACGGTGGTCGTTGTTGGCCAGATACTTGATTCCCACGTCACATCCGGTGCTGTAACCTCAGCTTGCGTAACCATCTCTGTCAGTTTATTTTGGATGGTAAACGCAGTGGAATAGAGCTCGTTCGTCGTTATCTGTGGAGCAGAGACGTATGCAGTGGTTACCCCAGGTGTAGTGACATGTTGAGTGGTTACCTCTGGTGTAGTGACATGTTGAGTGGTTACCTCTGGTGTAGTGACATGTTGAGTGGTTACCTCTGGTGTAGTGACATGCTGAGTGGTTACCTCTGGTGTAGTCACATGTTGAGTGGTTACCCCAGGTGTAGTGACGTGTTGATTGGTTACCTCTGGTGTAGTGACATGTTGAGTGGTTACCCCAGGTGTAGTGACATGTTGAGTGGTTACCCCAGGTGTAGTGACATGCTGAGTCGTGACCTCTTTTGCAATGAAGTGTTGGGTCGTGACCTCTGGTGTAGTGACATGTTGAGTGGTTACCTCTGGTGTAGTGACATGTTGAGTGGTTACCTCTGGTGTAGTGACATGTTGAGTGGTTACCTCTGGTGTAGTGACATGTTGAGTGGTTACCTCTGGTGTAGTGACATGTTGAGTGGTTACCTCTGGTGTAGTGACATGTTGAGTGGTTACCTCTGGTGTAGTGACATGTTGAGTGGTTACCTCTGGTGTAGTGACATGCTGAGTGGTTACCTCTGGTGTAGTCACATGTTGAGTGGTTACCCCAGGTGTAGTGACGTGTTGATTGGTTACCTCTGTAGTGACAGTGACATGTAGTGACATGTTGAGTGGTTACCTCAGGTGTAGTGACATGTGAGACCTCTTTTGCAATGAAGTGTTGGGTCTCTGGTGTAGTGACATGTTGAGTGGTTACCTCTGGTGTAGTGACATGTTGAGTGGTTACCTCTGGTGTAGTGACATGTTGAGTGGTTACCTCTGGTGTAGTGACATGTTGAGTGGTTACCTCTGGTGTAGTGACATGTTGAGTGGTTACCTCTGGTGTAGTGACATGTTGAGTGGTTACCTCTGGTGTAGTGACATGTTGAGTGGTTACCTCTGGTGTAGTGACATGCTGAGTGGTTAGTAGACATGTTAGTGGTTACCCCAGGTGTAGTGTTGATTGGATCTGGTGTAGTCTGTTACCCCAGGTGTAGTGACATGTTGACATGTCGTGACCTCTTTTGCAATGAAGTGTTAGTGACCTCTGGTGTAGTGACATGTTGAGTGGTTACCTCTGGTGTAGTGACATGTTGAGTGGTTACCTCTGGTGTAGTGACATGTTGAGTCGTGACCTCTGGTGTAGTGACATGTTGAGTCGTGACCTCTGGTGTAGTGACATGTTGAGTGGTTACCTCTAGGTGTAGTGACATGTTGAGTGGTTACCTCTGGTGTAGTGCAGTGAGATGTTGACATGTCGTGACCTCTTTTGAAATGACATGTTGAGTCTTGATCTCTGGTGCAGTGACATGTTGGGTCGTGATCTCTGGTTCAGTGACACGTTGAGTCGTGACCTCTGGTGTAGTGACATATTGAGTCGTGACCTCTGGTGTAGTGACATATTGAGTCGTGACCTCTGGTGCAGTGACACGTTGAGTCGTGACCTCTGGTGTAGTGACATATTGAGTCGTGACCTCTGGTGCAGTGACATGTTGAGTCGTGAACTCTGGTGCAGTGACATGTTGAGTCGTGACCTCTGGTGCAGTGAGATGTTGAGACGTGAACTCTGGTGTAGTGACATGTAGGGTCGTGATATCAGGGGTAGTGACATGTAGGGTCGTGACCTTTGGGGTAGTGACATATTGAGTCGTGATCTCTTGTGTAATGACGTGATGAGTCGTGACTTCTGGTGCAGTGACATGTAGGCTTGTGATATCTGGGTTAGTGACATGTTGGGTCGTGACCTCTGGGGTAGTGACATGTTGAGTTGTGACCTCTGGAGTAGTTACATGTTGAGTCGTGACCTCTGGTGTAGTTACATGTTGAGTCGTGACCTCTGGTGTAGTGACATGTTGAGTCGTGACCTCTGGTGTAGTGACGTGTAGAGTCGTTACCCCAGGTGTGATCAAGTGTTGAGTCGTGACCTCTGGTGCAGTGACATGTTGAGTCGTGACCTCTTTTGAAATGACATGTTGAGTCTTGATCTCTGGTGCAGTGACATGTTGGGTCGTGATCTCTGGTTCAGTGACATGTAGGGTCGTGAAATCTGGTGTAGTGACATGTTGAGTCGTGACCTCTGGTGCAGTGACATGTTGAGTCGTGACCTCTTTTGAAATGACATGTTGAGTCTTGATCTCTGGTGTAGTGACGTGTTGAGTCGTGACCTCTGGTGCAGTGACATGTTGAGTCGTGACCTCTGGTGCAGTGATGTGTTGGGTCATGACCTCTGGTGCAGTGACATGTTGAGTGGTTACCTCTGGTGTAGTGACATTTTGAGTCGTGATCTCTGGTGCAATGAAGTGTTGCGTAGTAACCTCTTGAGTTGTGACATGTTGAGTCATGAACTCTGGTACAATGACGTGTTGAGTCGTGACCTCTGGTGCAGTGACATGTTGAGTCGTGAACTCTGGTGCAGTGACATGTTGAGTCATGACCTCTGGAGCTGTGACGTGTTGAGTAGTAACATCTGGAGATGTGACATGTAGAGTCGTGACCTCTTTTGCAATGACTAGTTGGGTCGTGACCTCTGGTTTAGTTAAATGTTGGGTCGTGACCTCTGGTGTAGTGACATGTTGAGTCGTGATATCTGGTGCAATTAAGTGTTGCATAGTAACCTCTGGAGATGTGACATGTAGGGTCGTGACCTCTGGTGTAGTGATATTCTGAGTTGTGACCTCAGGTGTAGTGACATGTTGAGTCGTGAAATCTGGTGTAGTGAAGTGTTGAGTTGTGATATCTGGTGCAGTGACGTGTTGTGTCGTGACCTCTAGTGTAGTGACATGTTGAGTGGTTACCCCAGGTGTAGTGACATGTTGAATCGTGATCTCTGGTGCAATTAAGTGTTGCATAGTAACCTCTTGAGTTGTGACATGTTGAGTCATGAACTCTGGTGCAATGACTTGTTGGGTCGTGACCTCTGGTGCAGTGACATGTTGAGGTGTGACCTTTGCTACAGTGACGAATTGAGTCGTGACCTCTGGAGCTGTGACGTGTTGAGTAGTAACATCTGAAGATGTGACATGTTGAGTCGTGACCTGTGGTGCCGTGACATGTTGAGTCGTGAGCTCTGATGCAGTGACCGGTAGAGTTATTACCTCTGGTGCCGTGGTGTCTAAAGTTGTGACATCTGGCGTCGTAATGTCTGGAGTCATGAATTTTGGCATGGTGAAGCGTTGAGTTGTGACCTCGTGTGGTATGACGTTTGGGGTCGAGACATCAGGTGCTGTGACGTGTTGGGCCATTGCGTCAGGTGCTGTAAAGGTTTCGGTCGTGATTTCTGGTGCTGTGACGTGTTGGGTCGTGACGTCAAGTTCTGTGACGGATTGGGCTGTGATGTCTGGTTCTGTGAAGACTTGGGTCGTGATGTCAGATGTTGTAATGTGTTGGGTCGTGATGTCTGGTCCTGTGACTTGGGTCGTGACCTCCAGTGTTGATACTTCTTGAATCTTTCCGTTCGGTGCCGTAACCTCTGGTATTTTATCAATTTGAGTTGCGACCTCAAGTAATGTTACCTCTGGTGTTTTATCGTTTTGAGTTGTAATCTCCAGTGTTGCTAGCTCAGGTGTTGTGACCTCCAGCGTTTTATCGTTCTGAGTTGTTACTTTCGGTGTTCTTACCTGTGTTGTTTTATCATTTGGAGACGTGACCTCTAGTGTTGTGACCTCAGGTGTTTCATCATCATGAGTTGTGAGCTCCAGTGTTATTACGTCAAGTGTTTTATAATTTGGGGTCGTGAACTCCTGTGTTGTGACCTCTGGTATTTTATAATTTGGAGTCGTGAACTCATGTGTTGTGACCTCTGGTATTTTATCATTAGGAGTCGTGACTTCTAATGTTGTGACCTCTGGTATTTTATCATTTAGAGTCGTGACCTCTAGTGTTGTGACCTCAGGTGTTTCATCATCATGAGTTGTGAGCTCCAGTGTTATTACGTCAGGTGTTTTATAATTTGGGGTCGTGAACTCCTGTGTTGTTACCTCTGGTATTTCATAATTTGGAGTCGTGAACTCCTGTGTTGTGACCTCTGGTATTTTATCATTTGGAGTCGTGACCTCTAGTGTTGTGACCTCAGATATTTTATCATATGGAGTCGTGACCTCTAATGTAGTGACCTCTGGTGTTGTATCATTTGGAGTCGTGACCTCTAATGTTGTGACCTCTGGTATTTTATCATTTGGAGTCGTGACGTCTAGTATTGTGACCTCAGGTGTTTCATCATCATGAGTTGTGATCTCCAGTGTTATTACGTCAGGTGTTTTATAATTTGGAGTCGTGAACTCTTGTGTTGTGACCTCTGGTATTTCATCATATGGATCGTGAGTTGTGACCTCAGTGTTTCATCATTTTACAGTCAGATGTTTTATAATTTGGAGTCGTGAACTCCTGTGTTGTGACCTCTGGTATTTCATCATATGGAGTCGTGACGTCTAGTGTTGTGACCTCTGGTATTTTATCATTTCGAGTCGTGACCTCTAGTGTTGTGACCTCTGGTATTTCATCATATGGAGTCGTGACCTCTAGTGTTGTGACCTCTGGTGTTTTATCATTTGCAGTCGTGACCTCTATTGTTGTGACCTCAGGTTTTTTATCAGATGGAGTCGTGACCTCTAGTGTTGTGACCTCAGGTGTTTCATCATCATGAGTTGTGGTCTCCAGTGGTATTACATCAGGTGTTTTATAACTTAGAGTCGAGGACTCTTGTCTTGTGATCTCTAGTGTTTTATCATTTGGAGACGTGACCTCTGGTGTTTTATCGTTGTGAGACGTGACCTCCAGTGTTGTGACCTCTGGTGTTTCATTATTTGAGTCGTTACATTGTGGTATACGTGACCTCTAGTGTTGTGACCTCAGGTGTTTTATCATGAGTGGTGACCTCCAGAGTTGTGACCTCTGGTGGTATTACGTGACCTCAGGTGTTTTATAACGTTTTAGAGTGACCTCTAGTGTTGTGACTCTGTGTCTTATAGTTTTGTGATCTCTAGTGTTTGTGATCTGGTGTTTTATGGAGACGTGACCTCTAGTGTTGTGACCTCTGGTGTTTTATCGTTGTGAGACGTGACCTCCAGTGTTGTGACCTCTGGTGTTTCATTATTTGGAATTGTGGTATACGGTGTTATGACTTCAGGTGTTTTATCGTTCTGAGTGGTGACCTCCAGTGTTGTGACCTGTGGTGTTTTGTAGGTTTGAGTCGTGACCTCTGATACTTTCCCGTTTTGAGTCAAGACCTCTAGTGTTGTGAACTCCTGTGTCTTATAGTTTTGAGTCGTGACATCAAGCAATGTGACGTCTGGTGTTTTATCGTTTCGAGACGTGACCTCTCGTGTTGTGACCTCTGGTGTTTTATCGTTTCGAGACGTGACCTCCAGCGTTGTGACCTCTGGTGTTTTATCGTGTTGAGACGTGACCTCTAGTGTTGTGACGTCTGGTGTTTTATCGTTTCGAGACATGACCTCTAATGTTGTGACCTCTGGTGTTTTATCGTTTCGAGACGTGACCTCCAGTGTTGTGACCTCTGGTGTTTTATCGTTTTGAGACGTGACCTCCAGTGTTGTGACCTCTGACAAGTTATCTTTGTGAGTCATAACCTCTGATGTTTGGATATTCGTGGCCGTGCCCGAGTACGAGACAGTTTCAGGTGCAGTGACAGCAATGCTTGGATCAAAAGAAGTAGTCACTTCCATATCGAAAGGCGATGTTTCATGGTGGAACCAAACAGAACTAGTAAGTTCGGCGGGTACATTCGGAGGAATCGTCTTTACAGACAGGTTGTTATTGAATTGGACAGTTGATGATGTAGGATGTACGTCAGTAGTGAATAGGTCAGTTGGTGATGTAGGGTGTACGTCAGTAGTGAATTGGTCAGTTGATGATGTAGGATGTACGTCAGTAGTGAATTGGTCAGTTGATGATGTAGGATGTACGTCAGAAGTGAATTGGTCAGTTGATGATGTAGGATGTACGTCAGTAGTGAATTGGTCAGTTGATGATGTAGGATGTACGTCAGTAGTGAATTGGTCAGTTGATGATGTAGGATGTACGTCAGTAGTGAATTGGTCAGTTGATGATGTAGGATGTACGTCAAAGGTGAATTGGTCAGTTGATGATGTAGGATGTACGTCAGTTGTGAATTGGTCAGTTGATGATGTAGGATGTACGTCAGTAGTGAATTGGTCAGTTGATGATGTAGGATGTACGTCAGTAGTGAATTGGTCAGTTGATGATGTAGGATGTACGTCAGAAGTGAATTGGTCAGTTGATGATGTAGGATGTACGTCACTAGTGAATTGGTCAGTTGATGATGTAGTTGATGATGTAGGATGTGTACGTCACTAGTGAATTGGTCAGTTGATGATGTAGGATGTACGTCAGTAGTGAATTGGTCAGTTGATGATGTAGGATGTACGTCACTAGTTAATTGGTCAGTTGATGATGTAGGATGTACGTCAGAAGTGAATTGGTCAGTTGATGATGTAGGATGTACGTCAGTAGTGAATTGGTCAGTTGATGATGTAGGATGTACGTCACTAGTTAATTGGTCAGTTGGTGATGTAGGGTGTACGTCAGAAGTGAATTGGTCAGTTGATGATGTAGGATGTACGTCAGAAGTGAATTGGTCAGTTGATGATGTAGGATGTACGTCAGTAGTGAATTGGTCAGTTGATGATGTAGGATGTACGTCACTAGTTAATTGGTCAGTTGATGATGTAGGATGTACGTCACTAGTGAATTGGTCAGTTGATGATGTAGGATGTACGTCACTAGTGAATTGGTCAGTTGATGATGTAGGATGTACGTCAGAAGTGAATTGGTCAGTTGATGATGTAGGATGTACGTCAGAAGTGAATTGGTCAGTTGATGATGTAGGATGTACGTCAGAAGTGAATTGGTCAGTTGATGATGTAGGGTGTACGTCACTAGTTAATTGGTCAGTTGATGATGTAGGATGTACGTCAGAAGTGAATTGGTCAGTTGATGATGTAGGATGTACGTCAGAAGTGAATTGGTCAGTTGATGATGTAGGATGTACGTCAGAAGTGAATTGGTCAGTTGATGATGTAGGATGTGTAGTTAATTGGTCAGTTGACGATGTAGGATGTACGTCACTAGTTAATTGGTCAGTTGATGATGTAGGGTGTACGTCAGAAGTGAATTGGTCAGTTGATGATGTAGGATGTACGTCAGTAGTGAATTGGTCAGTTGATGATGTAGGATGTACGTCAGAAGTGAATTGGTCAGTTGATGATGTAGGATGTACGTCACTAGTTAATTGGTCAGTTGATGATGTAGGATGCACGCTGTTAGTTAATTGGTCAGTTGGTGATGTAGGGTGTACGTCAGTAGTGAATTGGTCAGTTGATGATGTAGGATGTACGCTGTTAGTTAATTGGTCAGTTGATGATGTAGGATGTCCGCTGTAAGTTAACTGGTCAGTTGATGATGTAGGATGAACGTCAGAAGTGAATTGGTCAGTTGATGATGCACGCTGTTAGTTGGTGGATGTACGTCACTAGTTAATTGGTCAGTTGATGATGTAGGATGTACGTCACTAGTTAATTGGTCAGTTGATGATGTAGGATGTACGTCAGAAGTGAATTGGTCAGTTGATGATGTAGGATGTCCGTCAGTAGTGAATTGGTCAGTTGATGATGTAGGATGCACGCTGTTAGTTAATTGGTCAGTTGGTGATGTAGGGTGTACGTCACTAGTTAATTGGTCAGTTGATGATGTAGGATGTACGTCAGAAGTGAATTGGTCAGTTGATGATGTAGGATGTACGTCAGAAGTGAATTGGTCAGTTGATGATGTAGGATGTACGTCAGAAGTGAATTGGTCAGTTGATGATGTAGGATGTACGTCAGAAGTTAACTGGTCAGTTGATGATGTAGGATGTACGTCAGTAGTGAATTGGTCAGTTGATGATGTAGGATGTACGTCAGAAGTGAATTGGTCAGTTGATGATGTAGGATGTCCGCTGTAAGTTAACTGGTCAGTTGATGATGTAGGATGTACGTCAGAAGTGAATTGGTCAATTGATGATGTAGGAAGTACACTGTTAGTTAATTGGTCAGTTGATGATGTAGGATGTCCGCTGTAAGTTAACCGGTCAGTTGATGATGTAGGATGTACGTCAGAAGTGAATTGGTCAGTTGATGATGTAGGATGTACACTGTAAGTTAACTGGTCAGTTGATGATGTAGGATGTACACTGTTAGTTAACTTGTCAGTTGATGATGTAGGATATCCGCTGTAAGTTATCTGGTCAGTTGATGATGTAGGATGTACACTGTAAGTTATCTGGTTAGTTAGTCCTGTGGATTGGGTGCCGGTATCTGATTTCTTGGTCAGTCTTGACCGACCAACATCACCTGAATTTTTAGTTGCGGGGTTGCTGGCATCGACTGAAGGTGACACGCTGGAGATGGAGGAAAGTAATTTGATTTTAATGTTGACGCCTCTTGGTTGGTCAGATTTTTGTAGTGAAGTTTCATTCTTGTATCCATTGTCATTGTGTTTCATTGGAAGTCTACTACGGTCCTTTGGTAACATTTTCATTTCCAAATCACCTACGGTGGCATCTCTTGGTGGGTTCATCTGTCGATGAACTTTTTGTGATGAAGATTTTGTTTGGTCACGTGATACGATATAACTTTGTCGGCCATTTCCGTCAAATATTTGACTGCTATATATCGTATTGTGATCATTCGGTGAATTCCGGAACCGAAAATCAGTTGTTGTGTTCCTTATCTGTGGTATATGTGGCGACAGTCGAAATTGATGGTCACTGTTTATAAGCCTCGCTTTCGAGGTGCGGGGTACTTGTCTGAATTTGAATTCATTCTGGTTTTTTCCAGGTTCATAAAGTCTGAAATGTGGTGCACTTTGTTGCAGTCTGAACTGTGTGCTGCCAGATGCTGGTCTGAACTGACGGTCGCTCAGAGATTGAATTGGACTAACGCGTGAGTGACCCGATGACTCAACAGCGTTGAAAGGGTTGTTTCCTCTGGATAAGGGCGACCGGTGATCAGGATCACTCATACGTTTGAATGATGACGACTGGTAATATTGTGGTGCTGGGTCAAATTGAGGCTTTACCAATATTGATTTCGTTGTGTATGAAGGTTCTTTTGAATTGTTCGCAAAATATAGTTGCCTTAATTGTGAATCTTGTGGAAGAGGTGATTTGGGTGTTGTTTTTATCATTTGAGCCTCAAAATATTTCCATCTGTTTATAGGCGACATTGATGTTTCTGGTGAAAATACGTTCGCGTTCATAGTCTCTCGGACGCTTGTTTTGCCTGACAGAGATGGTACATGTTTAAGCAGTATACCTGTACTCGTAGTGCTGGAGGCGACGTTTGTATTATCATAATTATTTGGCGGGTCGACATTTGATGCTTTTCCGATCCGGAAGCGATCTAGAGACTTTGTCAGATTTCCATTCATGGTACCGGTTTTCGGAAGTGAGACTTCCGGTTTTTTGTAAGCAGCAGTTGCACTCTGATTTCCATTGTTTTGAACGCCTTGAATTGGTGGATTTATGATAGATTTTTGCACAGGAATGGCTGCAACATTCGGTTTTGCTCTGATATTACCTTTCCGATTTCGCGGGACGTTTTTCAGTGGAGGAGCCTTTATCTTAAGTGATTTTGTTCCAAATCTACTTAAAATTGGAAAGTTGAAATGATGACTTCTTTTGCGATTATTGGTTTTGTTCGCAGGGGATCGTGTATTTGGTCCTTTATTGCCGATTGCCTTCTGACTTGGTACTTGTGTTCTGAGTGCCTCTTGACTTGGTACTTGTGTTCTAAGTGCCTCTTGATTGCTAATTGTCAGTTGACTTGGTACTTGCTTTCTGGTTGCTGGTCGGCGTCCCTGCGGTCTTTGATCCCCAACACGTAGACCTGTGAATCCATTGTAAGGAAAATTGCCCATGGTACGAAACAATATTCCTCGCGATTGATTCAGGGTAGATTTACCGGACAATCTAGCTGGCACTTTTTGATTTTCGTTCTTGACAGGTGTCGTACCAGTCAACCTGGCTGGGGACGAGCTATGTTTAGGTACATTCTTAACTGTTATGGTCGGGTTTGGTGTATTGTTAGAATTCAGAGTTCGGGATTGCGATATACCAGAAGGTTTTCTCTGCGGCATTGCTTTCTGGACAGGTTTTCTCCTCCGAAGTTTAAACAGTTTCAAATCCTGTTTAAGCTTGATCATATAGTTATCCCTTGTTTTCTGATTCGGTGCAGGCAGTGGACTCTTCTTAGCATTATCGGCCTGCTTCTGGCTTTGTTTAGGGATAGACGTCTGTTTTTGGCTTCGTTCATGGACACCTGTCTGTTTCTGACTTGGTTTAGGGATAACCGACTGCATTTGGTTTTGTTTTGATATAGACGGCTGTTTCTGGCTTGGTTTAGGGATAACCGACTGCATTTGGTTTTGTTTTGATATAGACGGCTGTTTCTGGCTTGGCTTAGGGAGTGACACTACCTTACTAGTCCGTGTATTCAATGACGGTGGTTGTAGCGGTGGTGAGCTCAATAGAACATTGCCAACTTTATTCTGAAATCCAACACCACCATTGGTCAATGTATTATGACTCCCTTGCATTTCATGGGTCCTTTTTATACTTAAATTATGCTGATTTGATAGTTGAGTTCCTTGATTGCTATTGGCCAAT